TGGATCTTTGGTTATTCGGGTTCTCTCCCGCGTAAGATTCAAAGTATCTAGGCAACGTTTCGGCGAGGTCCCACTCGCCATCTTCAGGCTGGTGCTTTCGGCTTAGTGCCAGTGCAAGCAGTGTGTGACCGGAGCTGCCATCTCTCTATATATACAAGATATATATATATTTACATGTTTATGCTCACATACACTCATTAGGTGATTTCACAGTATAAAAATATAAGAGCAAAAAAGCATTGTGACTTTCATTTTATTCATTGTGTTTTTGTTGGTCTAAAATATATCAGGTCAGCTTAATTTACCTCCCCCAACCCACACACACTCCTCCCCACTAAGAGTGTAGCACCATCTTCTGGGAAATGCTCATCTCTACTGAAAGCAAGTTAATTCATATTTTTAATGAGATTGAGCAAAGACTTTAAGATAAATTTTAGTAACGCAGCCAAAATGCAGTTAGAATATATGACTTTAAGTATATCCAAAACATCAATAACTTTGCATTATAAAATTGTTATATGAAGAATTTAGATAGCTGTTTGGACAATGTATTTGTTACAAGTAAAGTGTAACTCAGCTAAGCCCTGGCTGCAGGACTTCAGTATCTTCCGCTCAGTCACCACAAAGTCATTTCTGGTAGCTCTGCTGTGAGTTTAGCTGTTCCTCCTCCATCTTTGCTGCTTCAGCATTTGTATGCTAGAACTATATGAATCAAGGACTAATGTATCCTTTTGATTTTTGATCATAGAAGGCCCGCAAGCTACCCTAAAGCATTGAAAACACTGAAAAGCATAAAAAACAGATCCAGTTATAACTAAAAAAAAAAAATGTATAGGGTCAATGAGCATCAGTCACATTTTTTCTGGGCTACCTTTCCGGGTATATCGGGAGTGCGCGGACCACTTTTTAAGAGCCCAGTACCTTTTGCATTCATGTGGGAAAATGATACAGAAGGGCAGAATCCTTTTCTTTGTGAGGTTCTCATCCTTATGGAAAACTGCTTGGTTAGAGGAGGTGATAACAGCATTAAAACAATTTTATCAAATTCCCCAACAGAGACAGTATCACTAAAATAAAACTGAAGATCACAGATGGACCAGATTATGCAGAAACAATTATCCTACAGCAAATACTGTACTGACTATGAGAAAGAAAGAAAATCCAAATTAAATTAATACTTTGTTAAATGAGCTGAACATTTATCAAAAGTTTTAAGGTTTTGAATTTCTAAGGACTCTACTGATAGAATATCCAGAAAGAGAGTAAGCTATTTAAGCCACATATTACTGGAAATACGTTGAACTGGTAATACATTCAAAAAAGTATTATTCCAAAGCTTGCTGGCAGAAGAAAGAAAGGAAGAAGGATAATGCCACAAACTCTTGCTGGTTGCAAAATACAGAAAGTTAGGCAGTGTTTATAGCAGGAGTCCCCTAAACTTGCAGCCAAAATGAAAAGACCTTCAAGAAGAGGAAGCATATGTGTAAAATAGAAGTAGGTGCCAATCTGGAATTTGGCAGCAAGTCATAAGCACTGGCAGCTGCCCTAGAAGAGTCTGTCTACTCAAAAATGGCTGTTAAGTTGGTGTGATCAGTTCCAAAACAAAATGTCAGGTGAGCAGTGAACCATGAGGGCCCAAGAGAAACTTCTGTGGGCACACTGGTGCCCTTAGGCTTACTGTTGTTGATCCCAGCTTTATACTTACAAAGCTGGAGATTTTTGTATTTGATAAAAAAATTATCAGAAGCCAAAACTCATTGGAAGAATTACACCATCAAAGAATACAAGGAAAAAACTATTGTTGAATTACTAAGCACGTGGCAATTTTCCAACTCAGTGTTTGTTGGTTTCTGTACCAGCAGATGGAGATATTGTTATTTAGTAATACTTCAGTGTTTGTTATTGCTGAACTTGATATAAAAGCACTTTTTCTAGATGTTTAGTTTTTCACTTTTATGTATGAAATTACAAAACAATGGTCATCTCATAATATGCATTTCAACCGATTTACTATTATTTGTGTATGATCTCTGGACACCTGAAAAATGTCCAAAGGCAGTACTTTTCTTATGCAGAGATGGTTAAGATTACTGCATATTTTTGTGGGGAGAGTGAGGGCTGCTGTAATTTAGTAATTAAACTGAATTTATGAAGTAACAAGAAATGCATAGGCTCTCATGACTTGTGTAGATAAGGTTAGAACTTTTTGTTTTTTTTTCTCTGAGTTTCTTTGGATAAACATTGCAGGGGGTGTTTTGGTTTTTTTAAATACAATATGTTTAAGACATGTAACCTCTAGAAGTTTTTTTTTATGTTTTCTGCCTCAAAATTGTAATAAGCCATGCTACAGACTTTCAGAATTTATATTCAGAGAGGCACTGAAGAATACTAAAATAATGTTGAGAGCTTCTTATAATTCTGAAGCTTCAAATTTGCTCTCTCCTACTGTAACATAGCTTCTACATGCTCAGTATCAGAAGCAGAAAAAGATGAAAGAAATCCCTTTCAATTTCCTCTACCTTAAAACAAAGCAAACTTCTAAGGGGAAATTTCTGACGAATACAGATGACTAGAAGACAGCTACATAGCTTTAGAAATAGTACCTATATTCAAAAATGCAAATTTAAAAGTTAGAAAAAAGATGCTAAAAATTTATCTACAATAGGTCAACAATTAAGAAAGAAAAAGATCTTGACATATTCATGGTAGCTAGAGCTAGCCACTAGAGAGTTACTTTCTTTAAGATAGTACACTCTTCCTAATGGAACAGGGGGAATTAAATAGTATTATTTATAGTTTCAAATTCTTTTGAAATTCTT